CCATACAGTGCTTCTGTTAAAACATTTTAAATGTGTCACATCAGTGACACCTGTACATAAATGCATATTTATAAAAAGTTCAAACCTAATCTGCACCAGCGTAGCCAGCTGTCATAACAGCTCGGCCCCAAAAAGCACATCAGGCCAGACTTTGAACAACACAATCTCACACCACAGATTTAACCTAAGAAGAATCAGCTGATTCCTGTTGTTAACGGTGAATGTCAGACACAGCCAGCTGAAGTAGCTCAGTTGGGAGAGCGTTACACCGAAGATCTAAAGGTCCCTGGTTCAATCCTGGGGTTTGGTAAGCAGACAATGGGCAAGCTTGTGGCAGCTGGATAGTGTAGTGGTAAGTTTGATTCCTTCCAAGTATCCAGTAAGGGTCCTGGCTAGGTCCAAAGGAATGCCCTGGAATGGCGCGGCTGCAGCTCGCAGCTCGGACACAACACATTTCACTGCATGTTGTACTCTGTATGATTATGTATGTGACCAGTAAAGCTTGTTTCGTTACCCTGACAAAGGCCTGACTTCAGCAAACTGGCATGATGGGTTCACGTGGAGTCTCCTGGTGAAGCTCTCTTTGGTCTCCAACAACTAACTTTCTGTTGTTAGATGTTTCCTTTGTTGTATGTATAGAGGGGCTTTCAGAGTTTATGGTTATCCAGAAATCAGGGCAGGACTTTGGTTCAAATAGTTTTTATGCCCAGACGTTTACTATGCACTACTTCTGTAGAAGTTGCTTCTTTCAGTTTTTCCAGTGATTACATTTATCTTTATTTTCTGCTGCGTCTTGCCTACTTTTCTTCTGTGAATCAGGGCAGATCTCAAAAGGTAGGTTGGATTTTTTTATAGGCGGTATAACCACACAGAATAAAGCAGTTCTGTTTTTGTCAGCCAGCTACTGTGTTTCACCTGCTTCTGGTGGCTTCATTATGGTTAACTATAGTTGAAGATACAGCCAAGAGGGCACATTTTCCTTTGTATAATCAATTACCTTGATTACTTAGAACAAAAAAATACTAACAGGTCCAGACACGGCCCAGTGTTGTCTTCTTTAGCAATGTTGTTCGAACAGGGCAGGTATTGTAATCGTTTATATTGATGTTCTCAAATATTGTTGACAGCATCCTGTTATTTCTAATATAACCGCCAACAATTAACAAAATAAACCAAACTAAACTGACTCACCATTTCTAGAAAGAATTTGACGTGTTTAAATGCGATTTGTGTCCTCTGTACACACTTACCCATAATAACAACGTTATCCAGTGAACGGCAAAAATGAGAAAAGGTCTCACCTCAGATATTTGCCCCCTGGGGTTCAGGGTACAACCTTATGTCTGAATGTTTGACCAGTTGCAAACATTTTGTCTCATAATTTAGAAAAACAGGACCCAAGAGTACAAATGTCAGTATTTCCCTATCAGATCCACAGTAGATTATACCTCAAACAGAAGTTTTCCCGTGCCCACGTGCTTCTCATAGGAAACTCACTGAGATATTCACCTCACACTGCAAACTCTGACATGAACGTTGCTGTGAATTGTTGCTCGTCAGTGCAGATGATGTCAGTGGAAGGATCAGCTCTGCAGCTTTTGTGGAGGTCTGGTTCGCTCTTCTTTGACGTTAATGATGGCTGCTCCTCTTCACCAGGTGCATGGTAGACGTCTGCCCAGCTGAAGATGAAATCAAAGCAACAACTCAAGTGGAAAAGGTGGAGCCTGCTCCAGACGAAACCCACAAGCCCCCAACTCCACCCACTGAATCTGAAGCACCAGAGGAAGCCACTCCTTCAACAGATGCAGAACCAGTCTCCCAACAACCTGAGCCACTGCCTCCAGAAACTCCACTCACTACCACGGATCAGGTGATGGTCTCCTGGATTCTGCTTCAGTAGATGGTAGTTTGGTGATTCAAGCGGAAGAGTTCAAGTATGTTGACAGGTGAGCGGTAGATTGACAGAAGGGCTGTTTGACCTTTGGTCATGAGGTAGTGACCCAACGAATGAGATCGAGGACACATCCTGTGGGGAAGAGCTTCTCCTGAAGGGACTCTGGACTCTCCTTTAGAGGAAGGGGAGGAACTCATTTAGAGTAGAGCCATCACTCCTACACACTGAAAAGGAGCCACTTGCAGTGGTTCATCATTTGCCCAGGATGTCTCCTGCACGCCTGCTGCATGTCGAACCAGGAGGAGACTCCATGTGAGGTAGAACCAACACAAGCTGGAGAGATTGTCTCTCGACTGGTTGGGAATGAATCGGTGTCCCTCCATGAGCTTGAAGATGGAAGAGCGTAGGGAGGTGTAGCTGAGAACCTGAGCAATGTACAAAAGACCGGGTCAAAGTGGCTCTGAATCTTTGTGGCTTCTTACCCGGAGAGCAAGAGGAAGAATCTGGTGAAAGTCAAAGAGACAGTCTAGGAAGTTGAAGAACTTATTAGAAAAAGTTCTGGACTTGAAAGATCTGCTGACCTGGTGCCAGATACATCTGGCACTGTTATTTATTGGTCTTAATTTCTTTGGTATGTTCTCACTTCCTAAACCAGCACTCTACAACCTGAATTATACGTACTTCGAAGAGTTAATCTCTGATTAATTTCTTCTGATTATCTCAGATATTTCACCTAAAATGTCAGAAAGGAGTTCCAGCTGCTTGAGTTTGTCCTGAGCTTTCAGTGTATTGAGTGGTCTTCATCAGAGGACCGAGCTGGCTAAGCTGTCATGGAGATCAGTCTGTTGGTGTTAAAGGTCATTAGCTCGTGTGGACGTCGGCGATAAATCCAATTCCTGTGGTTCCTTGGAAACAGTTGGAAAAGAGCATCTCTACTTGAGAATCACTCGCTGGCTTTCTAAGGAAATTTCAACCATGTCATGTTCCTGTGACTGCAGGGCGGATTGACAGTTATATCTTGTTTTTAATAATTGTTTTCTTCTTAATTCTCAGACCAGCACAGCAGAAGCAGAAGAAGGTGGATGTGGAGGTGAGACTGCAAAATCAGGTTTTATCTTCTTGTTTCTCTTGTTCCGACTTCTTTCTTCGTGGATTTCTTTGCCCTTCGTTACCTTCACTGGTCCGGTTTTAGGACCCTAACGCTAACCCTTCTCACTGCTGTTTCTCTGTCTAGTTCCTGACATTTGCTCTCCGATAAAGAGCTTTCTGCTTCGATTCCCTCATGCCGCCGAGTGCCTGGAGAGCTGCACAAAGCTGATGTGTGACCATAACCTCACCCTTCCCACGCTGTCCATGCCGGCGCCACCGCCAGAGCTCACCCAGCTGACCCAGGAGCTGTTGCAGTTCACCAAGCAGGCGCAGCAGCGCTGTATGAGCATCTACAGCCGCTTCAGGGGCCTTAACTCCAACTCCCAGGATCCTTAGCAGCCGTAACCCCCACCCCCCTCCAGCAGACTCCTAGAGACACCTTATAGATTATAGACTAGATAATCTGCGTAGATCAAAACCTTTGAAGTGCCAAACCAAACAAACACACTTCTAGTGCCTCCGAACGTCCCATTTCCCCCTCATCCACACTCCCATCATGCTCTGCAGCTCCGCTGTGCTTCACCATCAGCTGCCAGCTAAGCGCGCCACAGGTAATCAGGAGGAGGTGGATGTCTGAGCTGCTGTAGGCTGTGTGCTTGTCCCTTTGCTGTTTTTAATGAGTCGTTTAGAGCTGAATCACCAACGAAACTGGGCGACAGAATCTCCATGTTTACCTCGCGATAGTCTGTGTGATGGGATTTGTTACTGGAGAGTTCTTTATCTGCCACGTTGTTGCCCCTGGTGATGGATTTTCACGAAGCAGCGTGACGCAGATTTCCTGTCGAGGCCGAAATATTTAAGCAAGCATGAAGTCAAAACTGGACTTCAGTCCTGTGATTCTCATTTAAGACTGAAGAGAAACTCCGTGACTTTACCTGCATCATATTTTCTGTGAGTTGTTACAATAAGAGAGGCCACTTATCGAGCTGCTAACATTAAATGCAGGGGGGCTTCTGTGGATTTGGGGTTATTTCCAGACAGTTTTACATATTTAATGCTGAATAACTCTTGTAAACACCACACATCTGTAAACTGGAGAACACACTTGGCCTGTAAACGTATAAAAATTTATATATTTATTTAAATACACATTTTTCTTACCATAAAACCTCATCAGTTCTTTTTGTTTTCTCTGGATGTGTCCAGAGGCAACAATCAGCATTTTATCATCTATAAATAAATGAAAGCAGAAGTTTAAAGTTGTGCTGGTGCTTTGGAAACAGTAGTCGACCCGAACTGCGGTTCAGCTGAGGGCGAGCTTATTCGTGTCGCAGGGAGACGTCGCCTGAGGTCCAACTGCATTTATTTTCTGGTCTTCAGAAAACTGCAGTAAACGTTTGGCTGAAGCTTCAGAACTGAAGGTGGAGGCGATGGATGTAATGGAAGGGAAAGGTCTGAACATCCCCCAGATTATCACCACCCCAGAACCAGAACCGAACCATCTCACAGCCCCAGAGCTCAGGTAACACACGACGTGTATGCTGCATCCATGGAAAGCATCCATGTTTGATGTCTGTGTTATCCTGTCTTCATGTCCAACTCTGCATCCGTTCATGGTTGTTCTTGTCCTGCTAAAAGTTGCTGAGCGAAACATCTAACAGCTCCAAATATGATTAAAAATACAACGCTGAGTTAAAATCAATGTAAATGGTTTCCTTAAATCTTTCTTTAGCTCCATCCTTTCTGAAACTGTTTGAATGATTCATATCTTCATGTTCAGAGGCCTGCACACCAAAGGAAGTTTGACATACCCATGTTATCACTGTCAGGGTCAAAGGTCACCTGAAGGTGGTCTTCAGCTCCATAAGTTAACCCAGTTAACCTTCAGCACACAAACATCCAAGGAATTTTACAGGATTGGAGACGTGCTTTTCCAGAGATCCGATTGGCCAGTAGGTGGTATTTTTGTATCTGCTGATCTCAAAGATAACCAGAAATCTTCAGATATCAATGAAATTCCTCGACGTGTAGCAACAAGACGGAATAAACACACAGTGGGCGGGTCCTAAGTCAATATTCTCGCAACTTTAATGAAAGCAGGCACCAATGGGAGCAAAGGATATTTGTAACTGACCAGTAGTAACAAACACTGCTGGTCAATACACACTACAATATACACAACTTTGTCAGTATTGACAAGCAGAGCAATGCACGGTCTTCATCCCAAATCTTCCTGTGCAGCATCGGCCTCCGATGGTCTTTGAGGTAAGTCGTATGTTCAGATGACGTCTCGGTGGAATAAAAATAAAACAGAGCGACACGAAGCCAAAATCTTTAAAGCAGTTTTTAACCCAAAGAATTAAATTAGAGTCTCTTTTCACAGTGATTCACAGTCTAAATATCAGGAGAGCAAATCAATATGCTTTCAGATGTGTGGCCACAACTGAAGATTAGCTTTAGAGAAAGTGTAAATGTAGGTGAGTACAGAGCTCGAATAAAAGCTTTGTGAATCTGAAACTGTGTTTTAAACCATTAATGAAGCTGACTTGTTAATCTGGTCGAAATTAGAAGCTAGTCTTGCCGCTCAGCAGCCGTGTGAGTAATGTCTTGGGTGATTATTGGGGCAGTTATTCTAAGGCTACTATCTGAATGAGTCGGTGGAGAGTCTTGACTTTATTGTCATTGATCACTGAGACCAGTTAACAGCAGTTTAAAGATGTCTGTGAAGGTTCTCAGTCATCCAGGTCTTCGTAGTCAAAGGAGCTTGCAAAGAAAAGCGTCTGGACTTCTTTAAGTTACTTGAAGACGTTTCACCTTCATCTGAGAAGCTTCTTCAGTTCTAAGGTCAAATGGTGGAGAGTCCCAGATTTAAACCTAGTGGGAGTTTCCCCC